GGGGGGAGCTCAGGGCTGGAATAGCAGGGTGGGGGTTGCCGTTTGGGATTGAAGGGCATCAGCAGGCAAACAGAGCAGGACTTGGAGGAGAGCCGCGGAGCCGCGATCCTCGAGCGTCTCGGGAGGCCGCAGGCCGAGCAAGGCCGGGGGTTCGACGCGCCTCCCCCTGCCGGTGTCTCCTCACAGCCCCCACCCCGCGCCTGCAGTACCTGCTGGAGCCCCTCCATGAGGTGGTGCACGCCCAGCGCGGCGCCACGGTCACCCTGCCCTGCGTCCTGCGGGCGCGGCCCCCCCACTACAAGGTGAAATGGAGCAAGGTGGAGCCGGCCGAGCTGCTGGAGAACATCATCCTGGTCACCAACGGGGTCCAGCACAAGACCTACGGGCAGCTGGGCGGGCGGGCCCGGCTGAGGCGCGGCCACCGCAACGACGCCTCCCTCACCATCGCCGGGGTGACGCTGGAGGACGAGGGGCGCTACCGCTGCCAGCTGGTCAACGGGCTGGAGGACGAGAGCCTGTCGCTGACGCTCACGCTGGACGGTAAGTCCCGGCTCCCACGGCGGCCTGGGAACGGTCCCCCTCCAGCCAGCAATGGCCCCGTCCTCTTCCGGGGAGAGACGTTCTGCTGATGGGAGCCTCGGGCGTTGGGGGCAGCCATGTGCCCTGGCGGGGGGCCGGAGGAAAGGCGGGGGAAGCCGTGTCCCCTGGGAGGAAGCAGGGGGAGCCATGTCCTTTGGCAGGGTTCCCCGAGAGGGTGCAGGGGAAGCTGCATCCCCTGGAAGTGGGTCCCCGGGGGGAGATGGGAGAACCTGCATCCCCTGGTGGGAGCCCATGAGGGAAGTGGTTTTAAAAATCTTAGCTCACTTCCCCTCTACCCCCAGCTCCTTCTGAGCGTAGGGGTGAGTTGGGTCCTTCCAGCCATCCCTACGCTCAGTCCAGGGGGTCCCTGCAGCCGTTGCTCCCCAAATCCCTGCTCTGTGACCTTGAGCAAGCCACTGCCCCTCGCTGTGCCTCGGTTTCCTCTCCCACCCTCTGTCTGCTTATTCAGACTGTGAGCTCTACAGGGCAAGGACTGTCTCTTGCTCTGTGTCTCTGATCTCATGTGAGCCTTCGATGCACTGCTGTAAGAGAATAATAGCAGGGGATCCCACAGGGGGCCGGCAGATCTGGTCGAGAAGCGGAATTTCTGTCCCACGGGAAATCGCGACCTTTCAAACTTTGTTTTCATTCCGGATCCGGAAAGAGAAGTCGAAATTTTGAAATTCCCCGTGGAACCGAAATTCGGAAGGATTTCGATTCAGAAACTTCAGAACATTTCGGGAACATTGAAACATGCGACTAGAACACAAAATATCCAATAGCGTGTAGCAATAACTGTGTCGAAACGAGAAACGCGAAGCGAATCGTGTCAACTATTCCCCACGGAAAATGTCGACGAATTCCCGCAAATCATTTTAATTTCGACAAAACTGCATTTTCCGACGGAAAAGGGCTCTGTCAAAAAATGGTTAAGCAGGTGCAGAGGCCAACATCCTGCACTGAGATTCCCGATCAACTCTCTGATCCCAGAATACCAGCTCACTCCCTTTCTGTTCCGATCACCCAGGTGTCGTCTTCCCCTACCAGACCAGCCAGGGGCGCTACAGATTCAACTACTTTGAGGCTAAGCAGGCCTGTGAGGAGCAGGACTCCAGGCTGGCCACTTACCAGCAGCTCTACCAAGGTAACCAGCCTCTGTCTGTTTCACCCACCTCCTCTAGCGGCTAATTCACAGACTTTGCTCTAGATAGAATCATAGAATATCAGGGCTGGAAGGGACCTCAGGAGGTCATCTAGTCCAACCCCCTCCTCAAAGCAGGACCAATCCCCAGACAGATTTTTACCCCAGATCCCTAAGTGGCCCCCTCAAGGATTGAACTCACAACCCTGGGTTTAGTAGGCCAATGCTCAAACCACTGAGCTATCCCTCTCCCCAAAGTTTTCAACATATGCTTGGAAAAAAAAAAGTTAATCTCTTTATTTATTTAGGATGTTTTAATAGGGTTACAGGTCATTGCCATGTAAATATCCGAGACAGAAGGGTAATCAGGTTTCAGAGGGGTAGCCCTGTTAGTCTGTATCAGCAAAAACAACGAGGAGTCCTTGTGGCACCTTAGAGACTAACAAATTTATTTAGGCATAAGCTTTCGTAGGCTACAGCCCACTTCATCGGATATTACAGAATCGTTACAACAGCCAGCTTTTGTTTAGAGACGCATTACAGAGTAGGATCATCCGATCTGGGAATAGGACCCAGGAGTCCTGGCCCCCAACCCCCTCTCTTCAAACTGCTATGCCACCCCCCGCCATTCCAGAGCTGGGATTAGAACCCATTCCTCTAAGCGCTGGACCACTCTCTCTCCCAGAGCTGGGGATAGACTCCCCTTTGCTCCGCACGATATGTGGGCCAACGGAGAATCGGGGCCATTATTAAGGTATCCAGTAGCTTGGTTATGACGCTTGCCCGTCCCTTTTTCTCCCGCTAACCCGCAGCGTGGACCGAAGGGCTGGACTGGTGTAACGCAGGCTGGATTCTCGACGGGACCGTCCACTACCCCATTATTAACCCCCGAGAGCCCTGCGGGGGGCGGCTTCTCCTCCCGGGAGTTCGGACCTACGGGGCCAAGGACAAGCAGAAGGACCGGTTCGACGCGTTCTGCTTCACCTCTGCTGTGAGGGGTACGTCCAGAGGGAACGCGGCGGCTCCGTGCGACCGCAGAGCGTAAGGAGACAAGATCAGAGCAAAGGCTCGGCTCGTCTGGTACCCCCTCCTGTTCTGGGTCAGCTCACTAGTTCCATCTGGTGTGGTATCCCCCTCCTCCCTGTCTGGGTCATTCCTCCCAGTAGGCATTGCCCATGAGCTAGGCAGGACCTGCTGTCTTCTAGCCAGGCTAGAGGGACCCTTGGCATCTCCGTGGCAGGTCCCTACACCACTCAGCGTCCCATGTGACCTTCGCCTTGACACCCTCCCCTCCCCTCTCTCTCTTCCCAGGCCAGGTCCATTTCATCCGGGGCCACCTGAGCTTCAAAGAGGCGGGGCAGGCTTGCCGCAACAAAGGGGCCACCATCGCCAACGTCGGGCAGCTCTACTCTGCCTGGAAGTTCTCCCAGCTGGACCGTTGCGACGGGGGCTGGCTGGCGGATGGCAGCGTCCGCTACCCCATCACCACCCCTCGCACCCACTGCGGGGGCCTTCCGGACCCTGGCGTCCGGAGCTTCGGCTTCCCCGACAAGGAGCAGAGGACGTACGGGACCTACTGCTTCTCGGTGAAATAAGGATGGCGCGGGGTGATGACGGGACGCCGGAGAGGGGACGGCAGCTCTGCTCTTCGCTGGTTTCCAGCCGCCCTGCGCCTGTCAAGGGTCATGAGATCTGTCTCCCCTGCGTGTTTCTCTTCCCCAGTGGGTCTCAGGCCGGTTTCCAGCAGCACATAACACTCGCTTGGCCCATCCGCTCATCGTCAGCCTTAGCAGAGAGACCAAGGACTGGATGGGCCATGGAGACCAGAATCCTGTCTCACGTCCAGAGGTGGCTCCTTCGGGAGCGCTGGCCGGGAGAGGCTGATAGGCTGCCTGCCCTGTTCTGTGAACAGAGGAATCTGTTCTCTGGAGCCGTGAATCTGACACAAAATTCAACCCCTGGGCCAAGGGCCTGTGGGCTACTTAAGCGCTGATGTTTGAGGGCTTAAGTGGTGCACAGGCTGGATTCAGACCCTCTGCCCAGGGGTGACTTCTACCCTTTCGACACAGAGAGCAAGTGAGAATGGAAGCACCCAAGCCCCCAACCTCAGAACTTCTCTGGTCTTCTCCGGGCTTTTGCTCTCCTCGGTTTTGGGTTCCTGCTGTTTGTTAGCTGCCATCTGGAGCAGGGGGGTCGTCAGGAGAAGACAGAATCCATGGGACTCAGTAAGAATCCAGTGTCCTGCTCCCGTGAGGTCGCTGGACCCCTCAGAGGAATAACCAGTAGCTGTAGATTTTTTTGGTTTAGTTTAAGGCTAACAAAGAAATGGCATTTTGAAGCTCACCTATTTCCAACAGGGGATGGGGTGCCCCTGGAGATAAAAAGCTTCCTGACTCTCCGTATGCTTCCTCGTGCTTGTGGAAATTCACAGTGATAGCAGGGCCACAACTCAGATCCCTCTGCTCTGCAAAGCACAGGTCCCTTGCCACTTGAGCTAAAGGAGCATCTCCTTAATTAGCAGCAATATAGGGGCTATGACACACAGTCGAGCCATTCTGATTCCAGTCCAGCAGAGGGCAGCAGTGTACACAAGCCCCCAGCCAGCTCGCTACACTGTGCTTATGAAGGTCTGTCTTTTAACCCCAACACCCGCCCGGCTCCCTCCGTGAAGAAGCCGTTCAGTGCCAATATGTGAAAGGCTGGAAAGTAATGAGTTTGACTAATTGTGTTTATCCATGTAAATTAATAAAATGATGGTGAACCCACCCCAAAAATAGCACCTTTGGGGTTTTTGTCCCCCCTGCGTATTAGCCATAGGGTGACACAATCCAGCCCTCGAGCCAAGGACTTTCAGAGCTAGAAGGCATAAGCTGCTAATGTGTCAACAGAAGCCCTGTGCCCCCTTAGCTGGAGCAGACTCTGTATGTGAACTAACCACTAGCAAGAGGACAGACGTACCCATGCTGTGGGTGGCAGATACCTTGTGATATCCAGCTTACGCGCTCCATCGGAGGCCTTGTGACGTTTTTAGGAAAAATTACCCTGCAGCGCGAGAGGTTGCCCGGACTAAGACTTACCCAGAGTTCGGTTAGGGATGGTTTGATCCTTTGCCAGCAGCCTACAGCTGAAAGGTTCTGGCATAGCCCTTACCACCAGGCCCGTTAGCCAGCCAATCCCAGCCACCAGCTCCCCCGAGGGCTTGTCTTCATGCCCGGGAGCTGCACCACGGTAGTGCTTTAGTGAAGACACTACTAAAGACCTGCTCCTGTTGGCGTAGTTAAACCACCTTCCCGAGAGGCGGCAGCTCCATGTACAGGAGAGCGTCATCGCTCTGTCTACGCTGCAGGTTAGAGCAATATAACTACGCCGCTCGGAGGGCGGGGATTTTTCACACGGTTACACCGGTTTACGTTTGCAGTGTAGACGCAGCCTCAGAATCTTTTCGTACGTGTCGGACCGGAGCAGCAGGTGGTGCCCAGTGAGATCAGGGCCCCGTTGCACCGGCACGCGCTGCTGCTCTGAGCCATTTCGCATCCACAGACAAGGCGCGCAGAGGATGGACGCTTAGCCCCATTTGGCAGGTGGGGGAACTGAGGCCCGGAGTGATTGTGATTTGCCCAAGATCACACAGGGTGAGGGGAAACGGAGACCACCAAGGGGCTCTGAAGATCCATGCAAGGCCCCACACCCTATGGCGGTGAGTACAACGGCATATGGGGCTGAAACCCAAATTGCAAACCTCCTCAAACTCCAGGCATAGGCCGGGTCATATCTGGGGCCCATCCCTAGTTCAAACAAGCTCCCAGAGCTGGGTGAAACCAGGGAACGTCTTTTCCAAGGTGGGGGAAATACAAAGGGGTGCATTTTGGAGAGACGTCACTCCTTCCAGATACAGATTTTTTTTTTTCCATGAAACGGGCTGGGGTTTTTTGCGGCAGGAACCTGAGAAGGTTTGGAATATTGGAGCCACCTTCCATTTGGAAGCAGGTCCCTTCTTCTCTGGAAAAGGGAGCCGGGTTTCAGATGAATGTGGCAAAGTCAGGTCCTAAGCTGAAGGAGTTTTGCCTCTTTGTGCAAATATTTCACACACACCCCTCTAAACTCCCTCACATCAATTCACCCAGAACCTGCATGCAATGGAGTTTGGGGCCAAGCAACTTACTGTAGTGACAAACTCCCAGTCTCCTATAGTCATGTCCTTGGTGGAGGAAATGAGGTCACTTCCGTTCATGATGTCACTATGTTTCATGATGTCACTTCCTTTTCCAGGCACGTCCCCCTACTTTTCTTCCCACGCTGGCCCCCATTTATTTAAGCATTTTGATTTTACAGAGCAAAGCAAGAGATTACAAACACAGAGAGCAGTTAAGGAACAACTTCCTCGTACAAAGGTGTGGGTGGAGGGCACGAATCCACTGGCCAATGGTAGGAGAGAGGTTCACCACACCCACAGTGACATCATCATGTGGCACCACCCATAGGTCAAAGGTCACACGGTCTCTGGCTCCCACATTGATTTCAATTCGGTTTCAATTTCAATAACAAAATACTCCTTGCACAAAGTGAAAAGTTACATTTTATGTTGCTCTCAAATTTTTTTTTTAAAGGGAATATTTAGTCATTAGAATTTCTTTATACATACATAAAAAAATGTGATGGGGAGGAAGGCATCGTTGCTTTTCCTGCTGGTTTTCAGACTGTTTTACAAAAAAATATTCCCAGCTCCGTTTCCATTCAGAACTAGTCCCAGTGCCCCTGGGAAGGGATGTCTTCCATCTTGGGTCCATCCTCAGTCATCAAGGGTTTGGTCCAACTTTTCAGAGAGAAATATACAAGGAGCAAAAACATCAGTCAAATGCCAGCACGGTTGGATTTATATATTATAAAGCCCAAAGGATAGCTCAGTGGTTTGAGCATTGGCCTGCTAAACCCAGGGTTGTGAGTTCAATCCTTGAGGGGGTGATTTGGGGATTTAGTTGGAGATTGGTCCTGCTTTGAGCAGGGGGTTGGACTAGATAACCTCCTGAGGTCCCTTCCATCCCTGATATTCTATGATCATCCAGTCTGCCCTCCTGTATAACACAACCCAGAGAATTTCACCCAGTTACCCCCCTACTGACCCCAATAACTTGGGTTTGACTCAAGCATCTTCCAGAAAGGCAGCCAGTCTGGATGTGAAGACATCAGGAGCTAGAGAAGTGGTCCTCAATCTGTGGCCCATGGGCTGCTTGCAGCCCAATCAGCACACAACTGTGGCCCATGTGACATCCTCAGGGCCATACAGGTAGTATTGGATGCATCCCACAATGGTAAAGAGTTTGAGAACCACTGAGCTAGAGATTCCACCACTTCCCTTGGTAGTTTATGCCAGTGGTCAGCCACCCTCACTGTTAAAAATATTCCCCTTATTTCTAATTTGAATTTTTCTGGCTTCAGCTTCCAGCCATTGGTTCTTGTCCTGCCTTTCCCCACCAGATTAAAGACCCCTTCCGTATCTGGTGTTTTTACATGGTATAAGGTATTTAGACATTGGAATCAAGTCACCTCTTGGTCTTCTTTTTGCCAACTAACCAGATTGAGCTCTTTAAATCTCCCACCATAAGACGTCTTTTCCAGCCCTCCGATGAATGTTGTGGCTCTTCTCTGCATCCTTTCCAATTTTTCAACTCTTTTTAAAATTGTGGATACAGAACTGGGCACAGTATTCCAGGATTGGTCTCACCCCCCTGCTCCAACTCATGTGTCCCCTTTACATATCCAAGGATTGCGTTAGGAGTTCATGAGTTGCTTGTCCAGCAGGTCGTTAAGGCTCAGTGTTATCCCACATCAAGCTCACATGTGCATTTCCTCGGCCTATCTGTCACAAGCTAGGATTTTCGACGACACACGGATGGGATCAATTATTTGCTATACACGTTTTGCTCCGGCTCTCGCAAGTTTCCGGGCTTGCTCAAGCAGATCACCCAAGTCTTTGGACGTGTGTCTTCCCACGTATACGTCACTTCCTGCTCCCCGTTCAGCAAAATACACACCCGGGGCTCAAGACACGACATCTTTGCTTGGTTTGGGTTAGCTCACCCATTGCCATAAGGGATCAGACAACTGATCCGTTTAGCCCAGGGGTTGGCAACCTTTCAGAAGTGGTGTGCCGAGTCTTCATTTATTCACTCTAATTTAAGGTTTCGCGTGCCAGTCATACATTTTAATGTTTTTAGAAGGTCTCTTTCTATAAGTCTATAATATATAACTAAACTATTGTTGTATGTAAAGTAAATAAGGTTTTAAAAATGTTTTAAACTGGTGGCCAGGACCCAGGCATGAGAGTGCCACTGAAAATCAGCTCGCGTGCCGCCTTCGGCACGCGTGCCATAGTTGCCTACCCCTGGTTTAGCCCAATACGCCACCAATGGCCATCCTGTAGCAGACCACGCAAACTCAGCGTTCCACCTCCCCCCGGAGCAGAGCAGAACATTGGTCCACCCAGTTCTGTGTCCGGGCTCTAGCCCAGGACAATAGCTGCTGTTTCATCAGTCGGTGGAAAGCTCCCACGATGCATCTAATTGACTTTAAGTGACACATGGGAGGCAAAGCCCTT